TTTTTCATTTATAATAATAATATATAATTTAATTACTTTTTTGCAAAACTCTTTTTACACTTAAATTATAAATAAATAAATTAATAATTAATTTAATGTTAATAAAGCATAACCTGATGCTCCTCTTGACTACTGAACTCGTGGCCCTTCATGTGCTGCGAGTCGGACGTCGGGTCCACCACTTCGGTGTCGAAGAAGCCCACGTTCTCAGAGTCCATGGCCTCCATATCACCCACATTGTGGTCATGCACTTCCTCCACGTATATCTCGTACATCTCGGGTCTGGTCTCATGGCATTCCTCCAGTTCGTACAGTTCCTCTTTGGTCTCCTCCTGTATGTGCCGGTCGTCCGACTCCTCCACTATATCGATGCCGGAGGTCTCGGCACCGGTAGGCGTCGTCGGCGTCTGCTCCTCCTCATCGCCCTTCACTGTCAGTGGCGACGACTCGAGCCGCACCTCCTCATCGCACCGGAGCTCCAGTGCGTACCTCTTATTCGCCTCATCCGTATCCATGAGCTCCTGTTCCTCCTCTTCCTCGTCGTTCAACTCGTCCTCTTCGGACGCCTTATTGAGTCGCTCTAACTGTTGGACCGCTTTGCGCGACTCGTCATCCATGGCCTCCATATCCTGATCGGCCTCTTCATCGTCGAGCTCCTCCTCGTCGTCCACCACCTCATCGACGGACACCGACACCGACGACAACATCTGAATGGATGGCTTACTCGTCAACGTCTTGTGTAGTGTTTGTGCGACTGTCGAGCCGTTGGGAGCCGTGGCCTGGAGTCCGGCTGCGAACCCGTCCTCCCATTCACTCGTGTCCTCAACTAATTTCAACGTTTCGATGATTTTGTCCACTTTTTGCTGAACAATCTCATGACTGGCCACTAGATTCACCTTCTCTTCACTCTTTTCCTACAATACAAACACAAAACATGTGTTAACTTTGCAAACAAAATCATTTCACCAATAATTTTAGCTAAAAGTTGGGGAAAGTTATGTAAAAAGCCCTAAAACTTTTGAATTAAACAAACTTTATGGTAAATAATCTCTCATAGAGTGAAAACAATATGACCGGTAAATGATAATACGGTTTAATTAATTACAAAATAGCGTTAATTCTATTCACTGACACGAGAGAGAGAGAGAGAGAGAGAGAGAGAGAGAGACTGTTAGAAGACATACTCTAATCTTAAGTTTGAGAGTCTGTAGGGCTCTCTTCATTTGCAGCAACTGGTCCTCAAACTCCTTCTTCTTGACGACCAGATTATCCCTTTCCTCTCGCTTTTGGGCCAACTTCTCCTCGTTCTTCTTGCGCTGTGTCTCGCATTTGGGACACTTCGGGAGTGCGTTGTTTTGGGTGATGTCCGTCTTAGTGGTGGTGCACATGGCGTGGAACAGTGTCTTACAGGGCTTACAGAACAGTATGGAATCGCAGTCACATTCGCACAGCTCTTCGCACACAAAACAGTTGGCCGACAATTGTTTGCCGATTGTCGTCACGATATATAAGCCTATTTGTGGGCCACAAACACACAGACATCACATTAGTTAACATCATAATCACAATCATTGTCGCAATAACTCAATTCTGCGACAATAGGGGACAGGCATGTAGTCCACAGGTGAGAGGACAGACAGCACATACCGGGAGATATTTCCTGCTGCTCGACACCAATTGACTTGGGATTCGTGGCGTTATTATTGACGGTCTGAGTGTTGGTCTTATTGAGAGCCGGCATATGGGGACCGGCGGCCGGCGGTGTGATGTGCGGGTTGGTCGCCGACCCCGTGTGTGAGCTCCCGGTGTCGCCGTTGTTGAGTAGCCGGCGTTTGGCCTTTCGTTCGGCGATCTCTAGTTTTGTGATGCGTTTGGCTTCGAGTGCCGCCGACGAGAACTGGGGGTTGGCTGTCGTCCGCCGTTTGCGCTCACATTTGCGGCTCTGGAGTTCGGCCAATGACTCTTTGGTGACCAGTCCTAAGGCACGGGTAGACAAAACATACGTATCGATTAGTGGTCAGAAATTAAAAACTTTTCCAACACATTACAACTAATTATAAACTTTTTTGCGGTATATTTAAAAGCAAATCAAACAATCGATAGCATACCTAAAGACATCATAAACAGGTCCTTCGACTGCTTATCCGTCAGCATTTTGGGTGCACTCCTGGCGCCCGATAAGCTCCTGTTTAGTGGCACTTTGGGTGACTTGACGTTCGCCGACCGGATCAACAGTGACTGGGCGTCGGCCGAGGCTCTCGTGTGCATCTGCGGCGGAGGCGTCGCTGCCGTCGTATTCGCGTGACTCGAGCGCAGCGGCTGAGCGGCCGTGAGGGTCGGCATCTTCACCACGGGCTTGAGATACTGGTTAAAGTTGAGTACCTTCTGCTTGGGCACCACCACCAGCTTATTCTTGTTGGAACTGTGCGGCACCGGCACCAGGAACTGGGTCTGACCGGTGATCGACTTAATGGCCAGCGCCGGCCGTCGGATTGACTGCGCGCTCAGCGACACGCCTTTGTGGCTGAGCTGCGGTATGATGAGCGCCGGCCGGTTCGTGATCGGCTTCAGTTGGCACTCGCTTTTGACGCTATTATTACTGTTTGTGTTATTACTTAAGCCATTGTTGAGCACTTCGTTCTCGAGGTTCTGCTCTTTCGATGGCTTCTCCTTTAAGACAATCTGTTGTTTCAATGATTGGATTTTCGTTCTCTGTTTTCGCGTACAAATCAAACACACAATTAGTATTACATATGAAAATCGTATTTCAAAACAAATTACTTCAATACGAGAAAACTTAGTAAAACTTTTTACGAGAACTAAAGTTTTGTTACTGATTATTGTTAGTGATTATAATCTGAATACTGTTTTATACGATAAGTAAACTCAATTTAACTCAAAACCACATTAAAGTGCATACAATATGAAAATGACTACAACTTTAAACTGAACCACCAATTGGTGAATAGTGTACGGATTAGTGGGAAAACTAAAACTAACAAAAACTAACTCAACGAAAAACAGCTGAAAAATCTGTTTCAAATAAACGTCATAAAAATAACGGCATTAAACTACTCATAAACTGTAGGGGCGATAAACACTCATAAAATTACTGTATTAAATCTAACTCACTTTAATAATGCATTTAAAAAGCGACCCTACTTATACTGAACGTAATTCGTAGATAAGTTTTAGCAATAAATAAAAAGCGATTCAGACTTAACAGCCAAACGTATGGCACAATTGTATGAAACTTTAATGACATTTGATTTAATCAGGGAATAAAAAAGTATTGACAAAATTGATGGTCAGTTAGACTGTATACCTGTTCCTCCGATAGCTTCTTAATACTTGTCGTCAATTCGTGTAATTCCTTCTGTAGGACTGGGTTCTGATGGACAGACATTACAAATAAAAGCCAATTTAATAATTAATTACACCATTAAGTATGTGTGCGGAGAGAGAGAGAGGGAGAGAGAGAGGAGAGAGAGAGAGAGAGAGAGAGAGACGTAAAGGCTAAATGTGTGGACACAAACAGATCAATAAAATAAACGACAAAATTAAATAAAAATCTTAGGAATCGAGTGATAAAATCCATGCATTAAAACTTAATTAAATAAATGCAATGATAAGGCATTTCTTAATATCATTTCTAATGTTTATTAATAGATATTTCGTAATTTAATATTTCATTTGGGGAATGCATTACACATTTTGTTTGCCCTGAGCAATGTATACATAGTTTTTTGTAGGAGTAATACCCCTAAAAATGTAAAGGGTAAAATTGTATGATCTCATAAATAGCTACATATAGACATCAAAACTTTGAAAAACAATGTATGATAAGAGGGGTCACTGATATGATAAGCATTTCTAATCCATTTATAGAAGTAATCTAATTGTATGTTTTCGGAGGGGATGCCAGTGCTCGTGAATAATCCATGACATAATCACAGAGATTGGGTAACCCATACATCACTTATGGATTATATGTCAAAACAAATCAACAAAGTCCTACTCTGGTTTTATTTGATGTCAATACTAATTATGCATATATTTATTAAACAAATAGTCAACCAAACGGTTGCATTCATACAATAAATAGGGCAACAAATGTGATTTTAACGATCATATGAAGGTTACTATCGATCGGCAAATAGTCGCTCACTATATAGTGTAGTACACAATGTGTACTGTATAACAGATAGTTATCTAATAGATAATAACCACTAACATATACACCAACCTCTGCACCTACACTTTATTTGTACTTTTAATCAAAAAGTTTTGTTTTCAAAAAATTAAATCAAATTATAAATCGAGTTATTGATCGAAACAATTGCTTCACTCAATGGAAAAACAAAAATAACAAAACAAACCCAAAAAACTTTCTCGAAATGCCTCAAAACAAATACAAAATGAATCACAAGTTTATTATTAAAAACACATTGCAAACGACTAAACAAATAATGCAATTCTTCATTAATAACATATTCCTTATATGTAATATGTCAAAACAAATCAACAAAGTCCTACTCTGGTTTTATTTGATGTCAATACTAATTATGCATATATTTATTAAACAAATAGTCAACCAAACGGTTGCATTCATACAATAAATAGGGCAACAAATATGTGATTTAACGATCATATGAAGGTTACTATCGATCGGCAAATAGTCGTTCACTATATAGTGTAGTACACAATGTGTACTGTATAATAGATGGTTATCTAATAGATAATAACCACTATCATATACACCAACCTCTGCACCTACACTTTATTTGTACTTTTAATCAAAAAGTTTTGTTTTGAAAAAATTAAATCAAATTATAAATCGAGTTATTGATCGAAACAATTGCTTCACTCAATGGAAAAAGAAAAATAACAAAACAAACCCCAAAAAACTTTCTCGAAATGCCTCAAAACAAATACAAAATGAATCACAAGTTTATTATTAAAAACACATTGCAAACGACTAAACAAATAATGCAATTCTTCATTAATAACATATTCCTTATATGTAAGCATCAAATGATTACTAAATAATATTCTGTATTATAAAGTCGTGCAAATTCTTGATGGCAGTGCAGGGGATATGCAAATCCCTATCCCTATTAGCCATTCATAATCGCAACACTCAGTTGACTCTTAATTATTGTGCCATAAATCGTAACTAAATTTCACGACTGACTGATAATAATGAACACAAAAAACAATTGATTATCCGATGAATATAATAGAGGCTTTGAATAATATATTTATTATTAATGAATGCAAAGAATTAACACAAAAAAACTAAACCTAACGCAAAATCCGAGAGTTATGTGACGACATGTAAAGGTTAGTGAATAATAAAAAATAGGGACAAAACATAAATAGAGTATAAAATTGATGTCAAAAACTACTCTAACATTTAAGTCAAGTCTTTTAAACACCAAACATAACTCAAAGTCTCGTATTATTACAAGAATCGTAAAATACATTTTCATTGTCACTAAGTATTCATAAAATTATTTCTTTTCTAATAAATCAATAAATGTTTTGCTAAAGAATTCATATTTAAAATATTAGAGTCGAGAGAGAGAGAGAGAGAGAGAGAGAGAGAGAGTTTCTAATAAAAAACATTAGCATTGAATAGCGTAAGACATACAGACATAAAAATCAATACTATTATTGAATTATAAATATTTTTCTTATAATAATTTCTTTAACCATTTCTTCTCTCTTATCTTTAATATCGATTGGATTATAAAAACACAAACAAAATGATGTCTCAAAATGTCTAAAACTTTCAAAATTAATGAGAATTTAAATCTACATAAAAAACTCCAAGACTTACTTCAATATAAAAACAAAACTTGAAAAAAATAATTACAAATTCTGTGCAAAAGTCTTATATTATAATAATATGAGGAGAAAAGAGATGTTAAGAACAGAGAATCAGAATAAATAATATCTAATAATATATATAAATGTTATATTGAACTCAAGAGTTTATATGCCATTCCCCTGCATAGCTGTAGTGACGATATTTAGAGGAATGGCATCTCAACACACACTACACTCGCCGAGAGTACAGCAAAAGTAGAGTGCAATCAAAGAATACAAAAAGAGACACAGATTTTCACTGTTAGACTACAATAAAAGTTATGGAAATATATATAAAATTCAACAAAAAAGTAGTTTTTGCGCAAAATTGTTGAACACCAGAATCGCGTAGAGAATCTATTGCCCTATTATATAGCCGTACAATTTGCCTGATTCTGTGCCCTACTATATAACCAGTAGAGCGCCAGTGTGTTAGTCGTGGAGTACCCATAAAAGCGAGTGAAACAAACTTAACAGACATTTATATAAAATAAAATATCGATTCAGAGGATCGGGAGGATAGGCTTTGAGAGTCGAGTGCCTCAGCGATAACACACATAAACTCCACAACACATTCACATTACCAACAAAATAGAGTCAAAAACTTTTGCATATATTTTGGACATACATTTCAATTGATAATACAGTCTGTGTATATAAAAAACACACTATGCTTTCCAGTGTGAGTACAGTGGGAATGGGAGGGATGAGGGATAAAGACTGAGTGCCTGACTATGATGTCTGTATGAGAGGGAAGCCATTAGAGAATAAGGAACTCATCATAAATAAAGTAATTTCTGATAAACCCCTAGAAAAACACACTCAAGAATTTGAACACAAAATTAATTACAAAAACAAAGTATTACCACAAAAACAGGACTGAAATATATCGGACAAAATTAAATCAAATACTGAAAACATTTCTGGAAAAATAAATCATAAAACTTATAAAAAACTTTTTTCTGCAAAAATTCATATAAACTACTGAAAAATCAATTTCTAATATAAAAAGCAATTATAAAACACATAAAAAGCGAATATTAAAAAAGGCCTAAAACTACATAAAAACCTAAACGACACACATATCCAACGAAACTAAAATGTCGACAAAACAACTAAAGTAAAAGTAATAGTAAACCAGATTTCATGCACTGCTTTATTAAATCAATGACACAACTCAATGAGATATATATTAATCCACAGAATAAACACATAAGTTATGTCACAATTAAATTGATGGCACCGTAAGTATAGTGTTGTTTGTGTAATATGTCCTCAAATTTCGTATAATAGACTTAATCTGTAATTACTAACGAAAACAGCAAAAGTAAAGCACACGAAACAAAACTTCTCTATTTATTAGACTATTACTCGTTATATCACATAATGTTTTTGGTTATGTTTTTCTCAATAGAAAATATATTACTAACCGATAGAGTGCGAGAGAGGGAGAGAGAGAGAGAGGGAGGGAGAGAGAGAGAGTCTCTTAGACTTAGTTTTCTTAGAAAGAAAAGGATAAGAAAAACATTTTGCAGCGAATTATACATAAAAGAACTTTTTCATAGGTATGGCTCGTGTGAGTGGAGTAGAGTTCAGCTGAGAGAGAGAGCACTGGGAGGAAAGGGACTATAAAATAGTAGGCTTTCCGAGAGTGAGCCGTAGCTGTGCGGCTGTGTCGGCGATGGTTTGGATCGATACTCGAAATGAATTTCTTGTTCACAAAAGTGAGAGATTAAATAATATGAGGCAAACGCTTGACTCAAACTATATATACACTACACACACAAATATATACCCAAAAAAGATATGTCACAATTAAATTGATGGCACCGTAAGTATAGTGTTGTTTGTGTAATATGTCCTCAAATTTCGTATAATAGACTTAATCTGTAATTACTAACGAAAACAGCAAAAGTAAAGCACACGAAACAACACACAAAACAAAACTTCTCTATTTATTCGACTATTACTCGTTATATCACATAATGTTTTTGGTTATGTTTTTTCTCAATAGAAAATATATTACTAACCGATAGAGTGTGAGAGAGAGGGAGGGAGAGAGAGAGAGAGAGAGAGAGACTCTCTTAGACTTAGAGTTTTCTTAGAAAGAAAAGGATAAGAAAAACATTTTGCAGCGAATTATACATAAAAGAACTTTTTCATAGGTATGGCTCGTGTGAGTCGAGTAGAGTTCAGCTGAGAGAGAGCACTGGGAGGAAAGGGACTATAAAATAGTAGGCTTTCCGAGAGTGAGCCGTAGCTGTGCGGCTGTGTTGGCGATGGTTTGGATCGATACTCGAAATGAATTTCTTGTTCACAAAAGTGAGAGATTAAATAATATGAGGCAAACGCTTGACTCAAACTATATATACACTACACACACAAATATATACCCAAAAAAGAGGCGATGGTTTGGATCGATACTCGAAATGAATTTCTTGTTCACAAAAGTGAGAGATTAAATAATATGAGGCAAACGCTTGACTCAAACTATATATACACTACACACACAAATATATACCCAAAAAAGTAAAGTAAAAGTAAAGTATAAAAATGTTTTACCAAATGAATAATAGACAGTGCAATGGATTGGTTGAGGGGAAAGGGATGTAAAGTATGAGTGAGTGAATGGAGCGATAGATATAATACATACACAGAGTGCGAGTGAAAAAACGCGAAAATCTGTGTATTTATTATTAATATGTAATAAACGTAATCAAAAAAGTGTTTGATTTTCATTTTGAGGGCAAAAATAGTTTTTTTGTTTGAAGTTTACCTGAGGATCCGCTTTTAGTTGCGCTAACGCCAACTGTAATGAGATTTAAACACAACGTTAATAATGTTTCAAATTCAATTAATACACTTTATAATTGTAATTATATTAGTGTTTGTGTGCAATGAACGCTCAACAAATGCATTTTACTTTTCAACTAATCAAATGGGTTTTTGGTTATTATTATATTTATAGAGAGAATCGTTTTCTACAAGTCTTTAAATGCCGTTTACTTCTAAGTGTTGAGAGAAAATCAAATAAAGTATTAAAAGTGTAGTAAAAAATTGCGAAAAACTTTTTCCCCATTTATTAGTTGAAAGTTAATGATTGCGAGGAAAAAAGCCAAATTGTTTTCTCGCTGTTCACTACATGTTTGTTGCCATTGAATGACAACTAATTTTTTTAATATGGAGAGAGAGAGAGAGTGAGAGAGAGGGAGAGAGTGAGAGCTTTTAAAATAAAATCAAAGTGTGGGTGAGTGGGTAACTATGAGTGAGCTATATTGCAATAATAATAAAATTAATTGTAATAATAATGGCATTAGAGAGAGCCATAGGAGAGAGAAAGTATAAGGAAGAGTATGGGAGGGAGAGAGAGAGAGACTACGAGAGAGAGTATGTGGGAGAGAGTGAGTGCTAATTGTTTTTAATTGAGTTATAATTGAGTTTTGAAAAGTATATGAAGTTTAAGACTCAACACAAACACCGATAGAAAAGTTGAGTCGACTTTGAGGACTGAAAAACGAAAACAAAACACAAGAAAACAAACAAACATTTCGTTCATTGATTGCATGCATCGTATGGTCGTATGGATGGTATTGAGGGCTCAAAAAAATTGCGAAAAACTTTTTCCCCATTTATTAGTTGAAAGTTAATGATTGCGAGGAAAAAAGCCAAATTGTTTTCTCGCTGTTCACTACATGTTTGTTGCCATTGAATGACAACTAATTTTTTTAATACGGAGGGAGAGAGAGAGAGAGGGAGAGAGAGAGAGAGGGAGAGAGAGAGCTTTTAAAATAAAATCAAAGTGTGGGTGAGTGGGTAACTATGAGTGAGCTATACTGCAATAATAATAAAATTAATTGTAATAATAATGGCATTAGAGAGAGCCATAGGAGAGAGAAAGTATAAGGAATAGTATGGGAGGGAGAGAGAGAGAGAGTCTACGAGAGAGTATGTGGGAGAGAGTGAGTGCTAATTGTTTTTAATTGAGTTATAATTGAGTTTTGAAAAGTACATGAAGTTTAAGACTCAACACAAATACCGATAGAAAAGTTGAGTCGACTTTGAGGACTGAAAAACGAAAACAAAACACAAGAAAACAAACAAACATTTCGTTCATTGATTGCATGCATCGTATGGTCGTATGGATGGTATTGAGGGCTCAAAACACTACACATAATGACAAAAGTGATCCCAAAAAGCGTGTCCACAGACCTGATGGGCGACGATAGTCTTCTTGAGCTGCTGTTGAATATCCTGGAAGTCTTTGGACGAAGACATGTCTGTCCACCACAACAGCCCTTTCCCCACTCACTCGCACGCAGTATATACCATACAAAACGCACAGTCAGTCTATATATCGATGTCTATACCGTATAAGCCGTATATATCTGTGTGTATGAGACATAGTATAGCAAACATAGCATTATATACCGTATATATGACTATAGTAGTAAATGTAAACTGGTGAAAAAACTTTTTCAATAAATTCAAAGCATGATAACTACTCATAATGGGAAATAGGGTACGAATAGGCGATTCAAATGCGATATTTAAACACTTATTACATTCAATAACTTTTTAGTCATAATAATAATAATACGCGAAAAAAAATTTATATATAATTACAGTATATATACGAGTGGTATAGGTGAGCCAAATGTGGACAAACGGGCTGTTGAGGGTGATCCAGGTGCGAGTAGTGGTCAAACACTTGGTAAGTATCCGTTATCAACACATTGACCGCGGTCACTTGCGGTTATATTACGTTAGTGTTAAGTTTGAGACAAAATATTGTGTTTAGAAAATCGCATACAAAAAGTGAGTCGAGTATTGCCAGTGGAGTAGTGTTTGCAAAGTGTTGTGCCATTCAATGCATTCAATGTCTCCCGTGTTATGCTATTACAGGCACTCAAAACACTACTCAAACGCTTCACATACTGCGAGGGGAGGCATAGGGAGAGTGTATGCGAGAGTGCGGGAGAGATCCGGAGTGCCATTCGCTTAGTGTGGGAGAGGGAGCGCGCGCTAGTGTTCGGCCATTTCGTATGTGCAGTGGTTTTTCGCAAGACTTGTGCGACGGATACGAAAAACTTTGCGGAGTCGCCCATAAAGTATGTACGGCTGGCAGGGGGTGTGTAGTAGTGTTTGAAAAAGTTTTTGTATTGATTTGTGCGATGGGGGCGCCCGTCAAGTATGTGCGCCTATTGTGTTGAGCGTACGGTTTGGCAAAGTTTTGTGTGCTTTTGGTTGGGTCTGTGCATAAAGTATGGCCCGTAATCAAGGTATGGATTTTTGTTGTTTAGTTTGTTTTGAGCCAAAAGTTTTTGACATTCATGAGAGTTTTAAATTATGTTCGCGTTTATCGACTGGCGGGCTGTACACAAAGTATGTCACATGCAGTTTGCAAAGTTTTATTCAATAGCATTGTGTTAAATATTAAATTTGTAGTAGGTATTATATATAGCTGGTTAATTTTCATTTAATTACAATTATTAGAGTTTTAATTATTGTATTAATTACGGTTAGTTAATTAATTTTTCAATAACTTGTTTAAAATACATTTATTTATGAATACTGTTTGAAATTTGTCTAATACAGACTTTTTATACTCATTTGTTGAGTTACAATATTTAAATATAATTTTTTATCACAAAATACTGCATTAATTAGCAATTCAAGTTTTAATACATTCATGGGTTTCGTACTTAATTCGTAGGAAATACTGAATAAATTCATTGTTGGGGTCAAAGGGGTTGTTGTCCCCAGTTTTGACGCTTTCGTGAATAAAATCCTTGATTTCATTGTAGGGTAGAGTCCACTCAGCTCTCGATTTAAGCATATCGTGACACGAGGGCCGGGATGTGTTCAGGCCGTTGAGACACTTGTTGGTGATCTCGGTCAGTTTGACATAGTTATCCTGGTAACCATTGTTTTGTTTCCTATTGAAAAACATTAACAAATTTATAACTAATTTCTAACTAATCACTAAACACTCACTCAATGGTATTGATGTCGAAGTTAAACAACTCCTGTATAACAACACCCATACTATAGATATCTGCCTTCAGGTTATATCTGCGGCTATTCTTGACTTCCGGTGCCATATACCGGTCAGCACCGGCACCTTTCGTATGGGACTGTTCGCTGTACTTATGTTCAACAGCCAGTCCAAAGTCGGCCAACCGGATGAACCTCTGGTCGGGCTCATACTTAATCAGTATATTACTGGGCTTGACATCCCGGTGTATGATATTAAGTGAGTGGAGGTTATGGAGCGCCTGTAGTATCTCGACGAGGAGTTCAGCGGCGATATAGTAGCCAACGGGCGGCAGGAGTTGCCGTTTGCCGGCCGTCTCGAAATGGTCGCGGATTTTGTGCAAAACCTCTTTGAGTGAAAACAAACAGAAATCCATTTGTATGTGAAGTATGGCGAAGTGCTTGAAGTTGAGGACCTCGTCGTATAAGTTCTTCACGTAGTCCGCGCTTTTGGACACGTAGTTCACGAACCGTTTCCGGGACTCCTCTTCGCTTTCCAGCCACGAGCTCCGGTATTGCACACATGTATTGCCGCCCACTTTAGCCCATATTCGGATCTCATTCAACCGTTTGTTAAACTCCTTGTGCAGATATTCCTTGGTGTCCTCATCGCCTGTATGTCATAATTGTTCATACAATGTAGTAATTTAATTATTTTTTAGAAAAGTAATTTAAGAAAAATGCAATTAATTACAGGTACAGAATATCTAGGTTATGTATAGCTAGAAAACACTGTGTGATAGCCCTCCACATTAACATTGAAAACAGGAAATTCTGTAAGAATTGTATACTTTACAGTATTGTATAAATGATATGAATTTAATTGAATTATTTTCACATAATAATTACTTTTCATTAATTGTATTGTTTTTCATAAATATTTGAACACATTTAATGGCAAACAGATACATACCGACGAAATAAATGAGTTTAATGGCGTACGGCTTTTCATCGATCTTATTCGTGCCTTTAATGACGACACCATAACTACCGGCGCCCAAACAGGTCTCTTCCAATTTGAATTCATTAGTCAGACGCTTGTTGTTAGTGAACGGCTGGATATCTAATATCTCTTCGACTACATGGGACTCTTGGGATATCTGTGGAGTCGGTGCTCCCTTTTCCCTGTCCCTGTCAGTCATGTGGTTATGATTTTAGTCGATATAAATTAGCGTATATTTTGAGAAATCAAATACAAATTCTGTTAACTATACAATTTGTATGCTAGTTGTGATGTAAAGGTTTACATAATAGCTATTGTTATTATGAAAGACATATAATTGTGATAAGGATGTCTTAATTAAAAGGTTATAAAAGGTATAAGTTACAAAGCTAATATACGACATGAATATATCGCTATAAGTGACTCAATTTTGTTATCAATTTATTTATAAACTTATAGATAAGTGCATTGAAATGCAAAGATTATTTCTTATATAACTTGTATGGAAATGAAATACAAAAAAGTTTTATTAATGTTATGAATAAATTTAGCATATGACTCAATTACAGTATTACTAGAATAAAATATATACGGTAATATTTTTAATATTCAATTTTATGAAAAGTGAACATGATTAAAATATGGATTAATTTATTAGTTTAAGCTCACAATAATTAAATTCGCGGAATATCTTATAAATTGATATAAAAAAGTATTTAATAAACTTTTAAATAAGACTGAATTTATGTAGAATTTTTAATATATTAATTAACATAAAATAACTACAAAAACTACTTATGGATTACGAAAATCATAATTTTTTAATAACAACTAAATCATTGATTATTTTTAATTTTGGGGGAAAGCCTTAACCTAGCAGCTTTTTTACGGTTACACTGATCGAAAGGTATCAAATCGATGCTAAACACTTTGTTTGGGCCCACTTTGCACTTCACGTTAGATATCTGCTCCTTAAACCTGTCCTTATCTCTGACCATCCAATAGGACTTGCAATCACAGGCCAGTGGGTTATCGCCGAGTCTAATGGTGTTCCTCTTATCAGCCATCAGGAAGGGGGCGAATATCTTCTCATCCAAATACGTGAGCTTATGGTTCCAGTAGAGCTCCAAATGGACGGGCCGTTTGGCGTTCAACAGCACTCCCCTCTCGAAACTGGTGTTATTGAGCCGATTGTTACCCAAATACACATACAGTGTCTGATTGGACGGCCGCTCGAAGTCGAAAGCGTTGGCCGGTATGTAGTCTATCCGTTGGTGACTGAGATACAGGTGCCGCAAACGGTTCAGGTAGTAGAAGGCGTAGTTGCCGATGGAGCGGATGAACCCCGGGTTAGTGCTGAATGTGTTGAAGTTGAGGTCATTGAGCCGGTAGTCGGCGCCCGATATCTTGCCAAACGCTACCGACGGGATGGCCGTCAGCTTATTCCTGTCTAACCATATCTTACGGGCTTTGGTGAGGGAGGACAGGGCGTCAAACAGTTCGTTGGCGTACGTGTCGGTTCCGATCTGAGACTCACCCACCACTACGAACTCGTCTACCGTTCCCGTGTTGGCGCCGAACGCGTTGGCACTGATTTTGTTCAGACTTAAGGCGTCTTTAATGGTGATCCTCTTGAATGTGATGTTTGACAGGAAGTGCTCCTCAAGGGATGTGATGGCCGTGTTGTTGACCACCAGTTCATCTAAACTGCCGGTGTCTTCAGGCATACTATGGCTTAGTGTCTGGAAGTAGTTCTTGATTTGAATGGTGGTGTCCCCATTGCATACAACTATTGTGCCACCGGTGCTGTTGGTCCGGCAAAAACATGGTTGGGTTGACTGGCTCTCAACGGCCGGACATTTGGCACATAAGACATGTGGTTTGTTTGAAAGTAAGACATATAAGACAATCACAAACAGTATCAGTGGTACTGTGTTTGATGGTTGACCTGGACATTGAGATAATGATTTAAATTTTAGTTCATAATAAGTTTTAATAACTTTTTTGTCTAATAGATAAAACTTAGATTTCTATAGAAAATGAATACTAATGAATAAAATTATAACAAATTGAATATCCAATTCAAAAGTATGACATCAAATGAGAGTAAGTAATTAAAATAAGCAATGATAAGAATTTATGTTAATATTTACTTATAATTTTAAAATTACTATAAATAGCCAGTAATACTGAAACACTTTAAGTAAATATAACTTACGATTTGTTTGCATTTTAACTTGAATTAACTTTAGCTATCAAATAAGCAAACTTTCCATTAAAAAGTTAAATTGCAAAATTTTTATACAATACATAAAACGCACTAAAAATCTATTGAAAAAGTTTTAAACAATTTATGCGACAAGTATTTACAAACACTTTGTGTTTTGTGTTAAAAAAATTTGAAATTAATTAATTAGTTTAGCGTATAATTTACATAAAACACACCATACAAGCAAAATACATAATACATAACTCTAATCACTTCTCCCTATTTCTATCTCTCGTCTCATGAAATCATTTTCACCTTCGATTTGAATGGGAAATGGAGGTCATGTCTAACAAGTATTGGAAACACGGGTTTTGCTTTTTTGAATCACATTTTGTATTCATTATACACCTGACTATTATTAATAATACTATCAAACAGTTAATGGTATGTGTTGTACGCTATTTAAATGTGTTATGAATACATGCTCTCTCTCTCTCTCTCCCTCTCTCTCTCCCTCAGCTCCGGCACCTTTCGTATGGGACTGTTCGTTGTACTTATGTTCAACAGCCAGTCC